TCAAGGGATCAAACATTTTGTATCCTCTAGTTGAATGATATCTTATCAGGATCATTAGGCTTAACTTATTGTCAAGCTTCCTCCTCCACTGACTAGGCACATGTCTATGTGCTATAGATCTGAACATCTTCAAAGGTCCTATGCTAGGCTTGACACCAGACTACCATTCTCCAATTTGTGATTTTTTCTAGCTTCTTTGTAATATCCCACATTCCCTTAAATGTTCAATTGGTTGTCAATTGAGACCAATTAAGTTCATATATACTCTATTTCTTGTCAGTTAGAACAATTTGAGCTCCCATGTGCTATAACTATTGTCAGTTGGGATGAATAGTGTAACCAGTGGACTCTAAAGAGATTAATCCTTATAAAAAAGAGACCGATCATTATTAATAAGTACAAGAGGGGACATTTTTTGTAACATTAATAATTGGTCAATTGGTACTAGGAGGCAAAATATCAATTGAGATATTTGTATTTCATTACTGAATATTATATTTATATGTTATATATTTATATGGATAAGAAGAAGAAGAGGTAACAACAAGAAAAAGGAAAAAAGAAGAAAATCAATAAGGGAAAAAAGAGAAAGGAGAAATAAGAAAGGAAAGAAGGAAAAAGGAAAGAAGAAAAAATGAAAGAAAAAAGGGAAAAAGAAGAAGGAAATCATCATCATCATCATCATCATCACCATCATTTTCTCTCTTTTCTTCACCAATCTTCATCATCTTCATCAATCTAAGGTGAGTTCCTAGTTAGATTAGGCTTGGGGTGGGAGAATTTCATGGAAAGGTGATTAGGGTTTTGTGTGTTGAACCATGAATTGTTGTTGTTGTTGTTGTTGTAAGTTGTGGTGACAAACTATGGTAATTGGTGTTGTTGTATGCAAGATAATGTTATATGTTATTGTTGATGCTTTCTTTTTCCACTCTTGATTAAGTTCTGCAATGGAGGAACTCCACTATCTTCGCTAAGTGAACCCTCTTGTACCAGAGAAAATTGTTTCTTATCATGGTCTCTAAGTGAGAGTTCGCTTGGAGCCTGCTCTACCTTTGCTAAGAGAGAGAGTTCCTCGCTATGACTTTGCTAAGTGAAACAAGAGAAATATGATACTGACTAAGTTCGCTAGAGCTCGCTTAGCGAACTTGACAACATTGAGAAAAATGCTTGATTCTTGTTTCATTGTAACTTGAGAATAATGTATCTGATTGATGTGAGGCTTATAGCGTTGGAAAGCTCTTTCAATGATCTATTTGATAATGAAGTAGAAACACGGTTTTATGCCAATGATGGATAGAAGAGTGATGATAAAATATCATGTATGGTATGATGAGTTTGAAGTGATTTAAATACTTTATTCCCTTGTTTCCACCCTAAAATGAGAATGATAACTCTGATTGTTATGAGAACGGATGAGTTAGGAAGCTAACATAGACTACTATGATATAGAGAGAAATATATATGAGTTATTACATTGTACCTTTCCTTTTGAGTTTGATTAATCCCATCATAAGATGATCAGACAAACGCTTACTATGTAGCATGGAAATGAAATAAGTTAGATTGAGGAGGATTACGTAATAGCTTTTCTTAAGGTTTTGTAACGAGTTATATGATTATGTGTGTTTTATGCATCTTATGAATCATATTATGATATATGCCATGAATTATATTGTGAATTATTGATTGTGTAATAACTTGACTAAAATATGCAATAATAAGTGAGGTAAAGCCTAGGTTTCTACCTAGGTGTAAGGGTTAGAAAGATAACTTAGGTTGCGATACTCGAATATAAGAGGTGCCTCAGTGTGCATCCATGAGTTATTATTTGCTAAAGATGAGTTTTCCCATTCGCGAGGCCAGAGATATAGATGGGGAACGATGTCATAGTTGTGATTCAACTAGCTTATATGGAAGCATGTTATGTATATTGTGATTGCGATATAATCATATGGTATTTGTGATATCAAACCACGGTGATTGTGATATAATTACACGGTGCTTGATGAGAATAATCATGAGCTTATTGTTGAGACTAATACCCTATTCCACATAATGGAGGTCGGGACTCCGTTGACAATATCTATTGGATGATGAAATCCATATAATGGATGTCCGGTATCCATTTACCATATTGGTGGAAAGGGCTTGGTGCTTTTCTTTCAGTCGAGGTCTGATATCCATTGACCATATATGATTGGGAAATATGTTCTACATAGTGGAGTTATAGATCCCACTGACAATATCTGATGGAGAATGAAACTGTCCAGTGGATGTGTGGTGTCTATAGACCATATCTAATAGATAGTACAGTCCGTACAGTGGAGATCTAGTTTTCCATTGACCATATCTGACGGATGATTGATTAGATCCTTGAGATTAGTTTCAAGCTAGCCACCCTGGTGTTACACTTGCATTCTCGAATAGTGATTATTTGAGTTATGAGAACTCAAGTGAGATGTTTCCATATATTGTGAATATCTCTTAGATACGTAAGTCTTAGTCACACTGTGCGAGTGATACAAAAGTAACAGAAGAAGAATACTTGAGTTAGAAATCGATTAGAAACCCTATAGAGCCGAGTGGACCCATAAGATAAGGGAACCCACTGAAATTATTTTCTCACCCCAATATTGTTGTTACTTTTTAGGTGTTGTTTGCAGTTTATATCCAATAGGAGTTGACAGATGATGTTTCAAAATATTATGATTGCTGCAATATTTCAATGTGGATCGTGTGCAATGAAGAGATTACACCTAGATCTTAGTTTTTATTTTTAGACATTATTGTATAACATGTTTCATAGATGTATATTAGTTGGACATGTGTATATAATGATGTCATTAGACTCTTATGTTGTGTCAGTACCAAAACTTAACACTTGTATGATATTATTCTAAATGTATATTATTCGGTGTATTACAATTGGTATCAAAGCAGGTCGATTCTCGATCCAGCCATGAAACATCATAAGTAACTCAAATTCTACCTCATATGTGTAGTTGTCATCATTTTGCTTGATGTCATATGTTATAGTATTGAGGCTGATCAACTTAATTATATATGTCTAAAATTTAGGAGCATGACTGGCAAACGCAGAGGTCTTAGATGACCCAAAAATCATAATGTGGAGTCGAAACCAACAATTGAAGATAATGGGGGCACAATGGCCTCCTCAGTTCATGCAGCATACATTTGGTGGTTCTCAACCCCAAGTCACTCCACAAGTTGCCGCGTGTGGTAATTTCTGAGATTTCTTCCAGATGAATCCTCTTGAGTTATAAGGTAGTCTTGACCCGTTGAAGGCTCGTGATTGATTATCCAACATGGAAATAATGTTTTAGATTATACCTTATAGTGAGGAGAACAAAGTGATTTTTGCTTTCTAGATGATTAAGGGTCCCACAGCAAGATGGCGGGACAATGCTTTGAATCTCATGACCAATTAAAGAATTCCAAGAGATTAGGAACATTTTAAGACCACTTTCTTGGATAAATATTTCCCAACTAGTTTGAGGACGCAAAAGAAATATGAATTCTAATAGCTCAGTCAGGGTAACATGTCAATGATGAAGTATACTGAGAAGTTTGAGAACATTGTTGTCTACTTCAGACACGCCATATATGTATCAGATGAAAAAAGGAAAATGGATCAGTTCATGTATGAGTTAAGAGGCAAGATTGCTCATAATATCTTTCAAAGAGAGTTCACTGTTTATGGTAAATTATTAAGACAATGCTATGTTGTCGTTAATAGTTTGAAAAAGACACATACTGAAAGAGAGGAAGTCAGCCAGCTTTAGAGTATTTCTTGTGGGGTTGTCCTGCACTTGAAACCATCTAATTTTCAAGTATATAAACAATTCCATCAAATTTTCATCCATAATTCATGATACTAGAAATTTCTACATGTACAAGAAAGAATTGCAGAATTGTGAAAAGGAATTACTTGACCACTACTCTGAGGCTTCATTTCATTCTCTTCCATTGCTTCTGAGGTACTCATCTTTCTCTCAATTCTTAATCAATTTTTACTAGAGCTTTAAATTTCGATCACGATGATATCGTTTAGTTTTTCATTTCTTTTGCGGATTTTTTTTAATCTTTTAGTCGATTTTTGTGTTTAACTCAGTTAGTGCAATTGATGTTTAATTTATCAATTCTGTATTTGATGATTGCTGAGTGTGTTTTGCTTTTCTTTGTTCATTCTTCTAATTATGATGATTCTGTTGTTATTTGAGACAAAATTCTTGTTTTTGAACTTTAGAAGTATTTTAAGTTTTTGAAGAATTAGCAAAACACAACTTATTTGGAAGATTATAATAGGTTTTATTCATGTTAAATTGTTTATGAATTTCTATTTGGATTGGATCATTTATTACTGAATAAATTAAATATTAATAACTAGTGTCCGTGTCGGTTTCAAACACAGACACACTTAATTTACAGTATTTGCGGGTGCTATTTATTCATCTTAAATGCGGCCAGTAACTACAAAGAATATTGCACTTAGAAGTATTTAATATTTTGAAAAGAAATCACTATGTAACTTATTTGGAAGATTATAAGGGCTTGTTCTTATTGAATTGTTCTTTAAAATTGTGTGTTGAACTGAATCGTTTATTAGTATTACTATTTGTATGGTTTATACATTATTGTGGTTGTGATTATGCTAATATCAAATGAGTCTAGTACTCTCAGTGATTACTTCACTAAGAGTTTGAATAGCAAGATGCAAGGACGCGTGGACCTGGTGGCAGGGATCATTTAGCTGACTTTCATAGTTTTGGAGGCTTTGGACCTTCTAGGAGTTTGATGTCTAGTATGTTTGAGGGAAGGGACCTATTTGACGACGCCTTCGTCACCATCCCTTTTGGAGGGATGTTTCAGTCAAGTATTATGAGCGGTCCATCTGGCTTTCCTCATTTCTAGAAATGTAGCGGTCTGGTTTCCATTTTCTTTCGGAAATACATGGGCCTGGTTTTCCTTTTGCGTAGAATATGCAGATGTCTGGTTTTCCTTTCACACAGAATATGCTGCCATTTGGGTTTCCTTTTGGTCCAGGCATGAATCCATTTGTGTTTCATGAGCATCAAGCTAGTGCTCTGGAGCCTAATAATCGAAGGGGCCCAATCATTCAGCAATTGGACTCTGATGATAAATATGAGGATGAGACCAAAGAGAAGAAAGAAAATCCAAAAAAGAATAGAAGGCCAAGAAGCACTGAACCCACTATGGAACATCCATATGATAAACTTGAAGGTAATGTGTGTTTAGCATTAACTAGTGGATGCACGCGCTTTTTCTCTATCCCTAAAATATTGTAGCTTACATATTGCTTATGCTAATTTGTATTGGTGGTGGGGTTTCATGATTGTTGCACCCCAAAATTTGACCAACCGGTTCTCGCATCTGTTTCATGTTTCGACGCATTTTTGCATTCGCATTCGCATACCGCATACAGTGCATTTTTCCAGTTATATTGATTTTATTGGGATCACAGCCTTCTTCTCGCATTTCAGGTGATTTTAATCAGTTCAGATAAGCAGAGTCGTATTTTTGGGAGGCGATGCTCTTCCCGGTGTTTTCAGCTTATGCTGTTGTTTTGGGGGATATTTCGGTGTCCGTTTATTTTTACCGGTTACTCCGTTGCGCTCTCACGGTGTTATTTGTCGTTTTGTACTGTTTTTGCTCCCTGTGAATTTATTAGGAGTTATCTAGGTTATAGGATCTACTAAGCATTTTTCTAGATTTTAATATATATATTGGTATAGATTTTATAGATTTTAATATAGTTGTTCTAGATTTTAAATAAGAATTAATATAGATAGTAATAGATTTTTTTAATAGGTTTTAAATAGAATATAGAGTTTTTTAAGTCTTAATAGACTTTTAATAGATATTAATGAATTTCTCTATGTTTAGATTTTGTTAGAATATAATAGATTTTTTCTTAGAATTAATTAGTTAAGGCTTTGATTCTTAATTAGTCTTTCATTCATTTTCGTTTTAATTAGCCATTAAGTGTCCGTTAATTAGTCTTAATTCCATTCAGAATATTCATTGATTTAGTCTTTTGTTCAGTCCTTAGTTAATTTTCGTTGGGCCCAGTTTAGAGTTTGGAGGCCCATTCTCCAGTCCGTTTTTGTCTGCCACATGTCCTTATAAAGCAATGCCACGCGTGCTGTTATGTTCCCGCCACCTCACTTTCACCTTCACCCACAGACTTCCACCTTACTTTCCACTCTCTCTCTCTCTGCCACGCCACCCCACACTTGGCTTCCATGCAATGATCCCCTCACACACGTGTTCACTTCTCCCTCTCCCTCTGCATGCGTTGTGACAGGTGCCCCTCGCCGGAAATCCTCACCGGCCGGCCATGCAACAACCACCGACCACCCTAACTACTCGCCAGCCACCACCCTAACCATCTCCGGCCGCCGTAACAACCTCACCGGAAACACAAATTTCCAGATTTCATCAGCGATTCAATCATCAACATCCTCCATGCGTTTTCCAGGATTTCAAGAACATTCATATCTTTAACCGTCATTTTTCCAGATCTTCATGCAAAAAACCAATCAATCTCAAGAACATTCATCAACGAACTCCAAGAACGATCCTGGGACGTTCATCCGTTTTTACCATAAAGCAATCCACAACCTTCATCTGTTTGTTCTCGAGTTTTGTTACAGCTCCATACGAACTTAAATCACCATCGGTATCTTCTTCGCGATCACGGATTCACGAACTAACATCCACAGATCTGAACAATCCGTCAACATTCCATCAATGATCTTCATTCAAGATCTCTCCAAGAACCTTCATACGACTCATCAAGCATTTTTCCAGAAGTTGTACAATCTTCATCGCTCGTTCTTCATCATTTTCCAGACGAATGTTCCTCAATCTTCAACAGATCCTTCAACGCCTTCAAGAGATTCACCAAGCGAACATCATCTAGCATCTTAGTCCGTTGATTTCCGCATGCAAATACCTTCAAGACCTTCAATGATTGAGTTGTTTCCAGATTGTGTTAATTTGTAGGTTTTTGTCTGGTTACTCATTTCTGTTTGCAGGTTTTGAAACGAGTGTTAGGTGAAGTGAAACGAAAAGAAGACTGAAACTGAACAGAGAAAACGAGAGTGAAGGTCTGAGGGAGAGATTGAGAGAAAGGTTGAGAGAGAGAGAGAGAGGCTGGAATAGGGGAACGGTGCAAGAAGAAAGATGAACAGTGAAGGTGTTGAAAGGAGGGATTTAGGGTTCTAAAGTTAGAATGAAAGTGGATACGTTGGGTTGGGATTGGGCTCTGAGGCCCATCGGTTTTTTTTCTCAGGATACCCTCAATTTCGTTTCCCCACCCCCCTCCGTGTGGTTCCTTGGTACTACTGGGCTGGGCCCATTTGCTGGGCACACTCCCCGTTTCACTGATCACACCCCCTCCCCATTTTTTGTTTGGCTGAAGTAATGGGCTGGGCCCTTAATTTTGTTTTAGTTTTTTGCTTTTGTACCCCCTTTTACTGACTATGTACCCCCCCTTGTTTTCTTCATTATTTTCTTTTCTTTTATCTTCATTTGTTTAGATTTTTTATATGAAAAAGAATATATGAAAAGAAATATGAAAAAGAATAGAGGAAAAAGAATATATGAAAAGAAATATGAAAAAGAATATATGAAAAGATATGTGAAAAAGATATGAGAAAAAGAATATATGAAAATAATAGAAGAAAAAATAGTAAAAAAGAATATAAAAATATTAGCGCATAGATTTAATATTTTCTTTTTAGGATATAGTTTCCTTTATAGATTTTATTTTCCACCTTTTAGAGGTAGAATTAGAAGTCCACTTGTTAGGGGACTATTTTCCATTATATTTTCCATGATAGTTGGATAGGATATTTTTAGGAGTTTATTCTCCTGTACTCAATCATTGTAACCTTCCGAATATTAATAAAATGAGATTTGTGCTGTGGTCCCGAAAGTAGCTGAATTACAGCTGCTCTGATTTCTTGTACCAGACAAGAATATGTAGGCATAAGATGCGATATCCTAGCGAGCACACTAACCACTAACTTCTGTTTCCTCTAGCTGCTGTGCGATCGAGACCTTTATTGCTTTCATTTCCTTTTCCGCGACCGTTGAGTGTTGTGAGATCGTTAGATACATAGGAAAAGGTTGTGGGAAAGTTCTTTCACTCAACCTGGATGTTTAGCCTCACCCTTTGGGTGATATACGAGGCATCCACTCCTACGTTTAGGATTTAGCGTGTGCAAACCCTTTTTTCGCTTCTTGGCGATCGAGTTTTTCTTTCTCTTGCCCTTGTGCAATCGAGACTAGACCGTAGTTCTAGGTTCCCGTAGGTTCCGCGTACCTCTAAACCAATGACATACTACGTCCGTTCTATCGCAAACAGGTAGCCTAAGTCTCCAATGGTCGAGCAGTATATCCCTAACTGCTAGAATGCGTATGCTAGTATTGTCAAACTAGTCTCTCACCCATGTGTGATCGAGAACACCTTTGCTTACCCGTAGTTGCCCGAACTAAGTTAGCTCTGATTTTCTCTGATGAGAAATACGTAGGCACAAGATGCGACGTCTTGGCGAGCCACCTTCCACCTTTCCCCGTAGTTAGCCGAACTACGTCGACTCTGATTTTCTCTGATGAGAATACGTAGGCATAAAGCGTGACGCTCTACCGAGTCAATTTCCTTCCGTTTAGATTTAGCAGCCTTAGATAGATTGTTTTTGCATCCTTTAGACAAACAAGCAAGCGTGGATCCCATCGAGTACGATGGACGTGAGGGGTGCTAATACCTTCCCCTTGCGTAACCGACTCCCGAACCCTAAGATTTGGTTGCGATGACCGGTCTTATCCCGTTTTCGCGAGGTTTTTCCTGTTCGTTTCCTTTCCCGCTCGAGGGATAAATAACGAAAGGTGGCGACTCTTCTGTTGTGCCGGCACCTGATTTTCGCAGTAGCGACAATGATGAAGGGAAAAAGATCAGACATTTGCAGGGTAGAAATGTGTTCAACAATTTCAATGCAACTGAGCTCCAGCCTCAAACACACAGCTTCTCCTTTCAGAGCTCGACAGTCAGCTATGGTAGTCCAAGTGGAACATATTACACTTCATCAAAGACTAGGAGGACAGGAAGTGACAGAGTGATTTTTTATGCTGATTTAAAGCTAGACTGAATCCAGTATTTTCATAATATTATTTTCTGACTCCATCTTCACTGTGTTAGGTGACACTTGAGGAAAGCAAAAAGGCTGATAGCTCCACAAGACAAGCTTCTCACAGGATTTCTATAGGCCTGCATGACAAGATATCTTTTTTGGTGGCAATATTATATTTGTTGGTTTGGTTTTGAGATACATTTGTTGTGTTTCTTTAGTGATTATTACCATGTCTCCGCGAGGGAGGAGAATGACGGTCTTCTCGTTATCGCGGGGATAGGTTGCGAGAAACCGGGCGATGATGTCTTTGCGGGGGAGTGCGCGATTGTCGGTTCTTTTTCAACATTCTGATTCACTCGTTATGTTGGAAGATCATCAGGTTTGTCTGATTGATTGCCGCGAACAGAGCCACCATGGTCGGATCGGGGTTGGGTGACATCGAGATTGATTCGAAGACATTCGGGCTGTCAAAGCGTCGGGCGATGTTGAAGGCCGTATCTTCGGGGGAGCGTGAGGCAGTGTGCCCGTCCCTGGTGTAACGCCCATTTTAATTATTTTTAGTTCCGGTGTTATTTTTATTCGTCAGCGTGTTTGGTGTGGGAATTGAGGAAGAAATAGAAGCATAATATTAATATTAGATAATTGATAATGATAATGATTAATAATTAATATTAATGTGGTATTAGAATTTTTATTAATTATTATTATTATTGTTATTATTAATAATATTAATATTATAAGATTATTAATATTATTTTGGAAATATAAGAAAATGGTGAATTAATTGGAACGAAGGGCATTTGTGGCATTTGGGGAAAAAGGAAAAGAGGAAAAACATGATCGTGAAGGAGAAGAAGAGAAAACACGCTTGGTAGAACACGGTTGGGGAAGAGCAAGCTTGAACGATCATCAAGGCTGTCGATTGTGTAGGATTCTCGAAGCTTCATCATCATCAATCTGCATTTCGAGGTAAGGGGGGGGGGATTAATCGATCGAATTGGTTTATGCATGAAATTGGTAGAAAAAGGGGAAAATCCCTAATCCCCATAGGATGATGTTGAATTGATGATGGTTGCATGTTAATAATTCTGTTATGATGATGGTTGTTAGGTTAGACTTTTGTTTGCATGTGTGTAGAGTGATTGATGAATGTTTAGGGTTCCGGTAGGTTCGAAACTCTGTACCGGAAGTTGATTGTAATTGACAGAAGTTGATGTTTTATATGGGAATTTATGATTTAATTGGGCGGAATAGAGGTAGAATGTTGATTGGGGTTGCTGGTGTAGATTTGGTGAGGATTGATGGTGTTGGGCTGCTGCTGAACTCTGAGCAGCAGAGTTGTTTTCTGCAGAATTCGCGAGCATTTGCCAGGCTTCGCCAGGAGAACTGGGCAGCGAACGCTGCTAGTAGCATCTGTTTGGCTTCTCCAGAAGTTTCACCGGGCGAGTCCCAGCGAGTGTTCGCTGCGGGGCTTCGCCAGGCGAATGGCAGCGAACATGACAGTATTTTGTGATTTTTATGCTGTGCTGTCCCGTTCTCGCATGGTTGGACCCTTGTTGGTCGTGAGCGAGTACGTGGTTATTATGGATCGATTGAGAGTATAAGGGTGATGTAGAGGGTGTGTGCTTGAATATTAATTGATATGAACGATTGAACTGAAGTACGCAGAGATGCTTGAAAGTGGATATGTATCCTTCAATTAGGAATGAATATATGTGGATGCGTACGTGAGATGTATACGCGGTGTGCGAAATATGCGGATCAGTAGGATCGTTATGCATTGAGTATGTTGTAATGAGATGTTGTGGTGAGTGGATCCGTAAGATCGATACGCTTATGTGCGTTGTGATTATATACTGTTGTGTGATGAGCGGATCAGTAGGATCGGATGCACTTTGTGTGCTTGATGTGTATGTGATATATGATTGGATCGGTAGGATCGGTATGCCTTATGTGCATAGTGTGTGATATGTTGTGTGGTAGTGGTGATCAGTAGGATCAAACATGCCTTGTATGCATTGTATTGATGTGTTGTTGTGATGGATTAGATCAGTAGGATCGATGCACTTTGTGTGCTTGTGCATATATGTATTATATGATGAGTGGATCAGTAGGATCGTGTGCATTGTGTGCCGTGTGGTTATGCATAGTGTCTTGCATAGCATGTGGACGTGGTGAATCGTTGCTCGGGGGAGCGTATGCGATTCACTCACGTGCTCCAAATGGGGAGCGTGGAGGTGAGCATGAGTTGCTCACATGCTCCAAGTGGGGAGCGTGGACGTGGTGTGTGATACACTCACGTGCTCCAGTGGGGAGCGTGGACGGGATTTTGGATCATTGCTCAGATGGAGTGTATGCGACCACCCGTGTCCTAAGTGGGGGACGTTGATATTTGATTATATGAGCTCAGGAGGAGCGTGGTAGGGATAGATCGTTGCTCAGATGGAGTGTATACGATCTATCCTGAGTTGAGTCGGTACCGCATTTTATTGAGTATAGTGCATGTGTTGCATAGTGAATTGTGTATGTGTTGTGATTGTCAATGATGGGACAGTAGGTCCGAGTGTGAAAAATATGAAATAATTGATTTATTGCTTCTGCCTTTTATTTCATGTATGATTATACCATTAATATTTGATCGTGAATCTCACCCCTTTGTTGTTGTTGTGGTCTGTGCTTCTTCGGAAGTACAGACAATCCAGGTGTCTAGCTAACTTGGATTGTGGCGTCGTTGTAGGACTGCTCTGATACGTAACACCGGGGCCTTTTGGGAGTTTATTGTCATTTGCTGATTATGTGTGCCCCTGTGGCATATCTGTTCTTTTGTGGGATATGTGATGATGCATGATGGACATATATATATATATATATATATATATATATATATATATATATATATATATATATATATATATATATATATATATATATATATATATATATATATATATTGGGCAGATGGCCGATTTTTGTATATATGATGATGTATATATACATGTTATGTGGTTTATGACAGACTAATCTTATTTTCCGTTGCAATATTACTGAAAATGATTTTTGAAAAATGTTATGTGGAATTTTGTGAAAAATTGTGACATCCCGTAAGTGGGAGAAACTCTGATATGTGCTTACTTTAATCGTTTTATTTTATTTTGGGAAATGGGGTGTTACAAGTTGGTATCAGAGCAGGTCGGTCCGTCCGGCCAGTGTAGTGTTTTGAGTCTGTCTGTAGGATAGAATTGGTTGTTTTCTATTAACCTATTGTTGTTTTGGAGTAGTATGGCTGGGAGGAATGACACGGCGTTGGCTGCGACTATGCAGGCTATGGCTCAAGTGGTGGCCAATCAAAATCTGGCTGCGGGTGCTCAGTTCAGAGACTTGATGCAGTTCCAGAGGAACAAGCCACCAAAGTTTGAAGGTGGGATTTTAGATCCGGTAGCTGCACAGAAATTGTAACGCCCCGATTCTGAATTCCCATTAATTGTTGAGTCTTTTAATTTATTGATTTGATGTTTGTTTTAAATTGAGAAATTATATATTGCTATGTGGTGTTTGCTTATTTTATCTATTTTTACCGATTCTGAGAGTTTTCGGGGAATTAGAGTAAAAAGGGCATTTTAGACATTTAGCACTTTAGTGTGAGAATTGATTGGTAAGTGTTGGAAAGAATTTGAGAGGAAAGAAATAGAGATAGAAATAGAATAAGAGAGGAAAAGAAAGAAAGATAGTAACATAAGAAGAAAAACAAGAGAAAGAAAAGAGGAGAAGAGAAAGAGAAGAGAAAGTGGAGAGGAAAACCTAGAATCATCAAGGGATCATCACCAAAGCTTGCAATCGATCGGTAAGGGTGTGAAACTCTATCATCTCTTTAATGTGTATGATTGTATGTGTATGTGTTTGGATTGTGTAGGGTTTCTACTCTTTTTCCACTTAGGTTAGAAGTTGGTTTTGTGAGTAGAATGAGGTTTTAATCGGTTAGAACTCGGATTAGACGATGTAGTTTAGTCGGGTGATGGTTGGGTTGTGCCACTGAGACTGGTTTGGATTTAATCGGTTGATTTTGTGGAGTTTGGGCTCTTGAGACAGCCATGGAAGTTCTGTCTTCGCAGGCTCGCCAGGCGAAGCCCAGCGAGCTGTAGCGAAGCAAGTCAGAAGCTAACACCCTGTATTCGCTGGCAAGTTCGCCAGGCGAGGTGAGTTGGCGAAGGTTCGCCAGGCGAGTGTGTAGCGAGCCTCAGCGAGTAATTCCAGAATTACTCCCAGTGGACTTCGCTGGGAAGTTCGCCAGGCGAAGGCCAGCGAGCATTCGCTGCGTGGCTTCGCCAGGCGAAGGTTGGCGAACATGACAGTGTTATTGTGTTTTGCTGTTTGTTCATAGCATGATGTTTGGTTGATTCAATTATGATTAATGCCTATATGAATGATTGATGTGTGAACTGTTTTGACATGTCGTGCTGTGGGTGGCCGAAAGGCGTGAATCCTAGATTGTAGAGTAAATGGTGAATCTTGAATATTTGATAATCTTGTGTATTTGCTCGAATTGAATAGAAACGCATTGATAGGCTGATATGTGTGTAAACCATGTGTGGAATGGTGCATAATGTGAATGCGTGATAGATATATGCGATGTATGTGATAAATGCAATGAGTATGTTTGTGAACATAGTATGCATTTTTGTGTTGATTGATCCCTCGGAGGATTTGCATTGTGAAGCATCTTAGTATGCATTTGTGTGTTGATTGATCCCTCGGAGGATTTGCAGAACCTCGTATGATACGATGGTTACATTAGATTCCTTGGAGAATCGGTTGCATTGTGTGATTCCTTGGAGAATCGGTTGCATTGTGTGATTCCTTGGAATCGGTTGCATTGTGTGATTCCTTGGAGAATCGGTTGCATTGTGTGATTCCTCGGAGAATCGGTCATAACATGTAATCCCTTGGAGGATTGGTAAGAGTATTTGATTCCGTGGAGAATCTGCTGAGTACTTGATTCCGTGGAGGATCTGCTGAATATTCGATTCCGTGGAGAATCTGATGAATATTTGATTCCGTGGAGAATCTGCTGAGTACTTGATCCCGTGGAGGATCTGCTGAATACTCGATTCCTTAGAGAATCTGTTGAATGAGTCGGTACCGCATTTGCATCTGCATAGAGTCGTGTTTCGGTCTCTATGAGTTGCATGAGTCATCT